CACACACCTCCCCTGTGTCCCCTCGAGTTCTTCGCGTCAGAGACGAGCGGCGGCGAGGCAGGCGACGCAAGGCGGCGATCGCCGGCGATTGGTGCTGACTCGAGAGGTTCATTCAGACGAAGGGTAGAGAGGTTGGGGGAGGTTCTTAATCTGGACTAGACGACGGCACCGTGGAGTGACGATGGTGGCAAGATTGCAGCGGCAAGATGAAGCCGCGCCTGTTTATGGTGAGTCCATCGATCCTCAATTTCTGTTTGTTCGTACCTTTAGAGCAATGGTATGTAGTCATGTACGTGTGTTCTGGTAGAAATTTCAGGATTTGGCTGCTAGGTAGATGCATTTGTCTATTTCTGTGTAAAGTTAGGTTTTTTTCTTGTACGGGTAATCCTGTTTGTGGATGGTAGATAAATGATGTGGTGGTGCATTGTTGGACTGTAGGTGTGGATTCGGATGAGTTTTCAGTCAAGGTTCACCATGGGGGTTTTTTTGTTGGTCATGGTAATCTGCGGTCTTATGTGGATGGCAAAGTTAGTTGGTTTGATCATATTGAGATAGACACTTGGTCTCCACTGTGGTTGGATCAATTTGTTGAGGATTTGGGGTACTTAAGGACTCCCAGCTTGAAGTATTACTGGTTATTACCAGGCAAGGGTATGTCTGATGGTCTCAGAGTGATTGCATGTGACACAGATACAAATGTGATGGCCTCAGTGGTTGACAAGTGCAGGAATTTGGTTGTATATTTCGATCATGATGACAAAGTTGGAGGTATTGACTGGGATGATATTATGAATAATCCAGTTGTGCAATTACCTAAGGTTATCAGCCCTACCAAGCCAACCAAGGTGAATCCTATTGATAATCTTGGTGGAAAAAGCCAGGAGCAACAACAGAGCAAGCTAAGAGGGAAAAAGGTGCAAGAAGATGTATGTGATGAAGAAAGCAGTGGGGCAGGTAGTGATGATAGTGATGACAGTGAAGATTCAGATTTCTATGACAGTGATTATGAGCTGGATGATGGTGATGATGATTTGTTTGTGGATTATGTTGATGAAAATGTGGTAGATGAGGGTGTTGCCAAAGGAAAGAAGATAGCAAAGGGAAAGAAGTCCAGAGGAAGCAGACTTAAGGGGGATCTAGCAATTGTTGCTGTAGGAGATGATGAGATATCAAGTGATGATGAAGATATTGGAGAATATGAAGATACAATTGGAGTTAGGTTAAAGTTCAAGTCTTTTGCACAAGAGGACATGAACAATCCTACATTCTTTGTAGGACTTGTTTTCCCTTCAGTTGAGAAATTGAGGCAGGCAATTACAGAGTATAGTGTAAGAAACAGAGTTGAGATCAAACTACCAAGAAATGATAAAAAGAGGCTAAGAGCTCACTGTGCAGAAGGTTGCCCATGGAACCTGTATGCATCCTGGGATAGCAGGGTGAAAACTTTTGTGGTTAAGACTTATAATGGAGACCACAATTGTCAAAAGGAGTGGATCCTGAAGAGATGCACCTCAAAGTGGCTGGCAGGAAAGTATCTTGAAGCATTCAGAGCTGATGACAAGATGAGTCTTTCCAGATTTGCAAAGACAGTGCAACTTGAATGGAATTTGACACCTTCAAGGAGTAAGTTGGCTAGAGCTAGAAGAATTGCATTGAAAAGCATCCATGGAGATGAGGTTGAGCAATACAACTACTTGTGGGATTATGGGAAAGAATTGAGGAGAAGCAACCCTGGAACTTCTTTCTTCCTAAAGCTTCAAGGAAGCCTTTTCAGCCAATGTTACATGTCACTTGATGCTTGCAAGAGAGGATTCCTAAGTGGTTGTAGACCCTTGATATGTCTGGATGGTGCTCACATAAAGACAAAGTTTGGTGGACAACTGCTTACTGCTGTTGGGATTGATCCAAATGATTGTATATATCCAATTGCCATGGCAGTAGTTGAGGTGGAATCTCTAAGTACTTGGAAATGGTTCTTGGAGACACTGAAAGCTGATCTTGGGATTGATAACACTACTCCCTGGACTATAATGACTGACAAACAAAAGGTATGTGATGTAATAATTTCTGATTAATCATTGTCAATTTCCTTCAATATTACTCACTGCCAGCCACTTATGTGTTTCATCTACCTTCAATACCAGGGTTTAATCCCAGCTGTCCAGCATGTCTTTCCAGATTCTGAGCATAGGTTCTGTGTCAGACACCTCTACCAACTTTCAACTTAGTTTCAAGGGAGAGGTCCTGAAAAATCAATTGTGGGCATGTGCTAGGTCTTCTTCAGTAGTACAGTGGAACAAGAATATGGATGAGATGAAGAACTTAAACAAGGATGCTTTTGAGTGGCTTGAAAAGATGCCACCTAATAGGTAAGAGCTTTTTTCTCTGAATACCCTAAGTGTGACATCTTGTTAAATAATAATTGTGAGGTATTCAACAAGTATATCTTAGAGGCTAGAGAGCTACCTATACTGAGCATGTTAGAGAAAATTAAGGGCCAACTAATGACTAGGCACTACAACAAACAAAAAGAGTTGGCTGAACAGATGCAAGGCCTTGTATGCCCCAAGATAAGGAAGAAGGTCCTGAAAAATGCAAATGCAGCTAACTTGTGCTATGCATTACCAGCTGGCCATGGGATCTTTCAAGTACATGAGAGAGATATGCAGTATATTGTGGATATCAATACTAAGCATTGTGACTGCAGGAGATGGGACATTACAGGAATCCCATGTAACCATGCCATATCATGTCTTAGACATGAGAGGATCTCAGCTGAAAGTGTCCTGCCTGATTGCTACTCAACTGAGGCATTCAACAGGGCTTATGGTTTCAATGTATGGCCATGTAATGACAAGAGCAAGTGGGAGAAGGTGAATGGTCCTAAAATTCTACCACCTGTGTATGAGAAGAAGGTAGGCAGACCAAAGAAGTCTAGGAGAAAGGCTCCACATGAGGTGCAAGGGAAAAATGGACCTAAGTTGTCAAAGCATGGAGTGATCATTCATTGCAAACACTGTGGTGAAGAGAATCATAATTCAGGTGGCTGCAATTTGAAGAAGCAAGGTATTAGCTCTGAAGAGTCCAAAAAGATTGTTGCCACAGCAAAACAAGCAGCTTCAATGGAGAATGAAGATAATGTAAATGACCCAATTAATGTGATCTTACAGGTAAAAAATGAGTTGTTTAATTTGTGGTTGATTAATTTTGATACATGATTGTTGATGTGCATTACCTGTATGCATGCAGGATGTTATATCAGAAGGTGTTCCTGCTTCTCAAACTGGATCTACTCTCATGTCACAACTTGGAAATACTGTCATGAGTCAAATGATGGAGCAGGTATATTACTCCCTGTTCACTTAGTTTAACTCCCTGTTGTTACTCTGATTTGCAGCCAACTCAGAGTTCAATAATCTCCGCGTGATTGTCAGTGGCATAACTATTTATGTTTTTTTTTTCTTCAACCTTAATAGCATCCGTTCTAGTGGAAATGTAACGCCTTTAAAATATAAAAAGTCCCTATCATGTTATATCTTTTTCATTTTGAGTTATCAAATGTATCCCCGTAGCATTAGCATGGGCATGTAATAGAAAAATAATTGTAATATGAAAATGCACAATATTATATAAAGAAATACCACCCACTTGCGAGGCATTATAACGATGTAGATATATACACACGCACGCCACACAAAAAAAAGGACGCTAGTGAGATGAATAAATATTGATATCAACGCCATTGTGAATTATTTTGCGTGTCGCGGATATATGCATTATGTATCATATTATTATTCATTATGACTTAAGACATAGATATACGCATTATCATATATCTTTAATATCATATTATTATGCATTATGACATGGGGCACAGATATATGCATTATATATCTGCATGAATTGGTATATCATAATATTATATTTTATGTTAATATATTTGATGTACGACATAAATTAAATTAGTGCTCAAATGTACAGTTCATACAGTAATATTTTTTTGCTAACATGAAAATTTTAAAAATTATTAAAGACAAATAGAGTTACACCGTAGCTTTTACCACAGGCATGTTACTAGTTACACCTGGGGAAAATGCATGTGGTGCTGGTTCCTAGCAGTTGACTGTTATTCAATTCCTTTAAAAAGAAAAATGCTAGAAATATCAAATAGATCATATAAATGAGCAATGCATATGTCTGATTCAAATCTTGATGCTACTGATCAACCCAATAATATACCAAACTGCTTATTTCATCACCATGATTTATTTCTGCAGATCCCAATTACCTTTTACCATATGTTTAAATGTGATAAACTGTACAGTATGCTCATTTCAATAATATTTTCATAAGATAATATGCGTAGTTTAATTTCAATTTTCTTGGGTCTGAAACATGCAATTAATTGACCACTGTAAAGCATACAATTTTATTGGGCCTGAAATCATACAATTTTATTTATCAACCTTGTCCAATTCATGGCAAAATTTGGATCAGTGATGAATCTTGATAAATCTAGTCTAAAACTGGGATGAGCAATGAATAATGGTTTGATCATACAAAAATCACGGCCACTCAACCTTTGCATATTTTTAGACAAAAATCAGGGTTGATCATCTTGTGTCAAAGAATAATGGTATGAGAACACATAATCAAATTGTATGGATGCACCTTAGCATAACATAGTGGATCAGTACAGGTTGAAATTTGTAGTCAGTACAGGTTGTGATCAGGTATTTATTACTGAGAATCCTAAATATGTTCAGCAATATACATGTTGTTACAAGTATTTCTCTTAGCAATTCAGTGTACCATCTGTAGTTCACATCCTTGTTCATTTCGTTATATCAAACAAATTCTGTAGGTGTGACAACGAGATGAACTATCCACTATGGTAAATAATCTATATTATAATGTAATCATCCATCAATTTGTCAATGATGCTGGTAACAAGTAGAAGATTTATTGAGGCAGCCAAAACCAAACTGTGTAAAAATTGCTAGCATCATCATTTACTTGACATTGCATTTCAGACTATGCTTTACAAATCTAACAGGATTACAAAACATAGACCAACGAGCAATAATAACAAATTACTTAGAGCAGCGGAAAAAAATAGCCTGAGATGCAATCTAAAGTGCAAACCTGAGATTTTTTTTCTTAAGAAAAAAAAAAGAAAACAATCAGAGCAGTTTTTATGACTAAAAGAATAGGAAGTACAAAGGCACTCACAATTAGAGTTCAGTTCTTCAGTAATGTATATCCAAGATTCAGTCTCAACGCACCTGAGTGTGGCAGCCCTAACACTTTCCAATGCTGAGAAAAGAAAACTATTTTAGTAAATATTTCCATTATTAGAAGCTTTAATCAGTTGCTATAGGATATGTAGTGGTCATTGATATATTAACAGCTTGAATATGTGTCTGAAATTATATTGATTGCAAAGCAACAAATTTGTGAACGAAAAAGGAAATTAAAACAAATTTATAAATTCAGACAAATGACCGAATTGACCTGTTCTTTCATTATGTGGGTGTGTTCAGATTAAAATGTCTTAGAAGGCAACTTTAGAACATGTTATTCATCAAATGAAAAACAAAACTTCAGAACAGGCAGGCTACTGATGGACAGAGAGAACATATTAGAGATGGGGGAAGAGAGAGAAGGGCCATAGGTATAATACCACAAATCGCTAAGCAATTCCATCGTATATATTCAGCCCAGTAAAAGTAATAGGACAAATTGCTGTAATGTCCTAATTTTCCAACCCAAATTAAACTGTTTTTAAATGGAGCATATCATCATGAAATTTATTAGCCTGAACTTCAAAGATATCATCACCATGCAGTTTATTTTACCAAAATTAGCAGCTGAGCTCTATGTCATCATGAACATTACTTCACCGACAATCCAATGATTTCCCAAACCCTGAGAACTACGAGTCACTTCACCGAAACCCCCTAAAATCTCATCTCTAAGTAGGATTTAACTTTTAAGGATCGCTTCATATATAAGATTCGTGCTATTAAAATTTCATGATGTCATAAAGATTAAATCAGAGACACCAGTAATCAGTGATTCGGCTACACCAGTACTCAGTAATTAAATCAGAGACACCACTTTAGAACAGGTTAGTCATCAAATGAAAAACAAAACTTCAGAACAGGAGGGCTACTGATGGACAAAGAGAACATATTAGAGAGAGAACTTTTACGGTACAATATACTGGTAATATATACTACCATTATAAATGATCTAACGGTGTAGATTGATTTACCTACCCACTTACAGTATAAAATTAAAAAGGGCATATTTGTCTTTCTATTTTATTGCGCATAAGTATTCCATATATTCTAGCATACAAGCACCGGGTGTTCCCCCGCTAGATCCAATAGTGATTCTGATTCCCCATTCCCGTCGTTCACCCCAGGCAAAGGCCATCTTCAGATTAAATTCTTCAGATTAAAATGGTATAGAGTATTTGTAAGAACATGACCCTTCTTGCAGGAGTGCATGAACGAAGAGGGTAAAGATTAATAATAGACATATGTAGGCTGTACAAGTATGCATTTTCATGCACAGATTCAGGGTGTGCATGGTGTTTAATTCTAACTCTGGCTCGGCAGAGGGCACTGCATTGCCGGCCGGCTTGCCGCCAGTATGCGGGACTGCATGTGGCCATGCCGCCACGGGGAGATGGTGACTGTTCACTTTGGCGGGAAGCGGGACACCGAGGAATTCAACCGCCGACAAGGACGAATTGCGCTGCCGGCAGGGCTCATCTCTACCTCTCACTCGCGAGCTTGAGTCACATGACGGCGTCAACAGATAGGGATTGATCTGAAGAACGAATTTCTAAATTGTCCTTACAAATTTTTAGCATATTTCTATCATACCCTTGTAAATACTAGTAGTATATACTGGTAGTACATTATACCGTAAAAGTTCCTTGGGGGGCTTGGGGGAAGAGAGGTATATTATACCTTTTTGGAACTGGACTCTGTAAACTGAGGAATGAGACGAGGGTGCGTCGTGTCGAGGCTTCACTTATCCCGCAGCAATTCCAACCTTGACAAATGAAATGAAATTGAGCAATGATCTGAAATCCGAGTATTGGAAATCAGAGGCACCAGTAATCAGTGATTTTGTTCCAACATTTGCACACAAACAATGAAAAGAGAAGAAACAGCAGGTATTACCTTCCCTGTAAGAGGGCAATGGGCTTAGGCGGTGATATGCGATCTTGCGGAGCTGAAAGGGGATTAGGGGGTGGGGGAGAGAGGTGTGGGTGAGGTTTAGGGCGTGGGGGAGAGCGGCGCTGGGAGTGGTCGTCGGGGGAGCCACCGCTCGGCTCAAGCGGTGATGTGCGATCTGGCGGCACAAGGAGCACAGGAGCGGTCATGGTGAGGTGCGGCGGCAGTCATCGGAGGCGGCGCAGGTAGGTTCCAGAGGCGGAGGCGCGGTTGCCGGAATGCCGGTGCGGAGGATCGGTGCGGCGTGCGAGGCAGGGAGCGATCGGCCCAAATCGCTAGTGGGAGAACAACTAATAATATAGCGAATCGCTCGGACACGTTTTTTTTTTTTGTTTTTCACTTCTTTTATGTGATTTTCCTATACGTATCAAGCATATATATATATATATATTCTTCTTTTTCCAATTTACGTCAGATTCTTGTTTTTCCTTCTTTTTAGATTTCCTTTTTATATGAGTTATTTACGTGGAGACTTTCTACATATAAATTTGACATATATAATTAAAATTTCTATATATAGCCTTTTTATATATAAAGTTTCTTTATATAGACTTTATATATTAAAAAGTTTATATGCAGAAAGTTTGTACATATAAAATCTATACCCAAAAAGTTTTCACACAGATAATTTATAAAAAAAGTTTCTGCTTGTAAATTTTATATAGAATATATATATGTGCAATTAGGAGTTAGTTTATAAATTTTAGTGGAAATAAAAAAAAAGCTAATCAACACTAGATATTTTTGGAAAAAAACAATCCTATTATCAAAACAAATCCTGTAACAGAAAAAACGCTATTCATGATAAGAATGCGTAGATTGGTTTTTTAACCAAAGATTAACGCTAATCATTATTAGACACGTAATTAGACGTATAATTAGGATGAAGTCTGTCGGTTCGCGAGATTTCCTCGTCACGAACGTTCGTGGGGTAGACCCACCCGCGGTCGGCGCACGTCGGATGGGAACGGGGAACGCGAGCGCGAGGGGGAGGGTGGGATTGGGCCGGAGTGAGGAGTGGTAGGTGGTACGGGAGGCAATCCGAACCGTTTGATCGGATGTAGATGAATAGAGAGAGTTGGATTTGATGAATGAAGTATGAAGGATGTAAACATCAGTTGGTGAATTTTAATCCGGAAACTTCTGGCTTGTAAATTACACCGATTTTGGGCCAAATACAAGCCTTCCAAGCAGTCCCTAAGTGTAAGAAATGCTTATCTTTTTAGATAATAGGGCTAGTACCCATGTGTATGTAGGGCTGTCAACGAGCCGAGCTCGAGCGAGCTTCCCTATGTAGGCTCGAGCTTGGAACAGACTCGAGCCAAGCTCGACTAGTCGAGCCTAATTTGACATCGAGCTTGGAATTAAGCTCGGGCTCGTTTCGTTCGAGCCTCGAGCCTTTTCTCGAGCTTGCTATTGGAAACTCAGCCACGAGCTTGCTCCATTAAAGAAAAAGTAGAACTTTGGGTGTTTGGATACATTAGTCCTCGGACTAAAACATTAGTCCTTTTTAGTCCTAGCATGTTTGGTTGAAGGGACTAAATAGGACTAAAACCACATTAATTGAGCTGCCTAGTAGGTATTCATAGGTACTTTTTTAATGAACATGCATTGCACAAAACACCCCCTCATGCAGCCACAGATCAACCAAGACCATCTCGCGACAAATTGTGTATTCTAAACAGATTTACAGTAGAGAATACAAAGTACAAGAAAATTTGTTCACAATACAGAGTTAAAATTCAACACAGTTTCAGGCCATCAAGCACAGTTTGACAGCACCACCATATGCAGACATATAGCATACATAATGAAATGTACAGTACATGAAAATGCAAATTCCCGCATACATATCAGTTACATGAAAAATGCAAATTCCCGCACCAGATCCGCCACGGCCTGAGGAAGCTTGGCTGAATCCGTACTTGGCGGCGTCAACGGAGGTGGCTTCGTGATGTGCTTGTGACTGGGAGAAAAAATCAAACATGTCGTCGTCGTGCCCGGCCATGGCTGAAGGGCTACGAGCGGCGGCTAGCGTGGGGCAGCGGCGTGAGCTCACGCGCGGCGGCGGCGGCGGCGGCGGCCGTGGGAGCTTGCGCTCGGCGGCGGCGTGAGCTTGCGCCTTGCGCCGGATGGGGGGAGCGGAGTAGCCGAGTGGTACAGGAGAGAGTGAAGTGAGAGAGAGAGAGAGTGAAGTGAGAGTGACAGGATAGGGTTGGGACCGCTTTGCTATAGGTTTTTAGACCGTATAAGCTCCTCCCCCAGTGATATATGGGCCTATGCTGTTTTAGTCTCTTTTAGTTCCTCCCGTTTGATATTTTAGAGGCTAAAAGGGACTAATTTGAAGGGACTTATGGATTAGTCCCTCCAACCAAACATCACCTTTGATGATTTGATGGAGAAAAGTAGTACTACTAGTACTACTTTGGAAAGTGAGACAAGAAGTTAAACAAATGCCATACTCTGTGATGGATTTGCAGTGGACAGCACCAGTTGTCTTGTTGATGGAAGAATTCAATGAGGAGAGAGACAGAGGGGATGGATAAAGGAGAGAAACAAAGAGAAGGTGGAGGTCGTCGAGCTATTCGAGCTCAGCTCACCAGCCTTGTGAGCTAAAGGCAAGCTCAAGCTCGATTTGATTATCAGACGAGCCGAGCTTGAATTGAACTTATAACGAGTCGAACTCGAGCTGTTTGTGAGCCTCGAGCTTTTTTTTGACAGCCCTATATATATGGCGTTCTAGTGTTCCCAGAAAATTCGTACTAAAAAAATTAGCATGGCCTGTTATTGAAATATTTCTCACTAAAAAAGAAATGCAGCAGTGACCATAAGTCCCACGTTATTTTGTCCTACATAGATCAGGGCCCATTAGTTAGCCGTGAGCTGATTTTAAGCCAAAATGTCTTATAAGCAATAAAAAATAATGTATAAGTAAAAAAATTACATATGTATCCATAGCGATTTGAAAGGTAAATGGTAAAAGAACTACAGTATTCTAAAACAATTTAATATTAAATTTTAAAATTAATTTTTTTTGCAACAACCATAGGCAGCAGCTGGGGCGTACCTACCAATAGTTTACCGGTGTCATATGACACCGGGTAGATTATCTAATTTTAGCTAATTTATATCATGCTAATTAGTATAATCGGTCAATAATTAAATAATTAGTATGTTTAGGACCTCGATAAATTTTATTCTGGGTTCGCCACTGACCATAGGGCTTCACCTCACGCCATTTCCATAGGCTATTAGAGATCACACAATCAATCAATCTTGCTTTCCATTCAAAGTCTTCATTTATGATTATTTCAGAATGATTGTTGGGAAGTACTCACTCCTTATAAGTTTGCTTGGACTTATTTCTAAGAGTAAATTTCACAGAACTACAAGTACTTTGGTCAAATTATCAGAAAACTACAGATTTAACATGATGTATTATAAAACTACATATTTAACACTAATTTTATCATAGAACTACAGATTTAAGGTAAAATATCGCAAAAAGTATAGATTTAATAACAAAGTTATCACAAAACTATAGGTTTAATTTCAATTAATCATAAAACTTGGACATTTACAACTCAAAAATATAACATTAGTGCAAAGGATATAAACCTCAAAATATATAGCTTTGTGATAATTTTATTATTAAATATGTAGTTTTGTGTTAAATTTATTGTTAAATCTGTAGTTTTGCGATATATGACCTTAAATATGTAGTTTTGTGATAATTTGGTATTTTTTGTGAAATTTACTTTATTTTTAACCACGCATTAAACTTTTTTAAGTTTGACTAAACTATAAAAAAGTATAGTAATATTTTCAACACAAAATAAACATACAATCAAAATGTATCAAAAGTTAGTTTTAATGAAACTAATTTGAAAAATATAAAAAATTATAGTAACATTTTTAACATAATAATCAAGATATATTAAAAGTTACAAATGTAGCTAAATTTATCTGTAAAATATAAATAAATATGACTCAGTAGCACGAATGACTCCGTGGCCCAATGGATAAGGCGCTGGTCTACGGAACCAGAGATTCTGGGTTCGATCCCCAGCGGAGTCGTATTTAGTTTTTGTTTTTTTATAATTTGGGCTGGGATGGGATGCCATGCCATTTTCGCCCCCTCTTTCTACTTTTTGGTTTCCCGCGCAGCCCTCGCGCGCACAAAAATTCCCCATTCCCCAACATTTTTATTTTGGGTGGCTCCCTCCTCCGGCGAGGGCGATGGCGGAGGAGGACGGCGACCGGTTCATCGAGATGGTGTCGGCGGGGACGCTGTACCTCTCCGGCGAATGGGAGCGCAAGTACTGGAGCTGCTCCAGGGTAGGGTACTTGTATCTCTTCCTCCCCTTTCCTCTCTAGGGTTTTGGTTGGTTGTGTTGCTCGCTGCGTCTAATTTGTTTACTCGCTACGGTACAAGGGCAAGGATCGGTACCCCTACCCGGTGGGTTATCACGCCGTCCGCCACTTCTCCGGGATATCCTACACCATGCAAATTCACCAAGGACCCAGAGGCCCTCTTTTCCAGGTATAGTATGCCTATTTCCTACGGAGTCAAATCTTCCTTCATGTCCATGAAAATGAAAACAACTTTCTCAATCTGCAGGTCACATCCACCCAAGGAGATTCATCCACTGGGCCCACCCCGGATATTGCCTGGAAGAACTTCCACAAAAAGACCGCTCCTAAAGTCAGAGACTGGCAGAGGAAAAGGAGCTTCCCTCAGAAGATTGATGGCGTTGAGGCAAATGCCCCTTATTTACCTTGGATATAAATAATCTCATTCTCAATCATATCTTAATTATCTTCATGGATGGTGCTTCTTCCCATTTTTACCTCACACGAAATCAATTAATCATCTTTAAACTGTGTTTCTTTTTTTTGTACATACACTGTACCACACTCCTTTCTTGCCAAGGATAATCGTAAACTGGATATCCTTACACCACCACTACAGGAAACATGATCCAAGTGCTGTCATTCACTTCACTTTTAATCTATTATTATATCTTTGTACATGTACTGATTTCTATTAGGTTTGTACCAAAGTGGTTTACCATACTGCTGGCTTGGAGTTGGAGATACGATTCTGCAATAAATTGTGCTGTTTGGAAACCTTGTCGTTGAACAATAATTACATTATGGTCAATAAATTACCAGAGGAAAAAAAGAGAGGGAGAGACATACATGCATGAACAAGCAGTTTGGTGCTAGCAAATGGAGCTACAACTCAAGTACCTTGGCATGTATACATCAGTCTTTCGATTGGAACCAAAATACTTGTTCCAACAAGAAAAGATAGAATGAGCTATTCCAACAAGAAGTAGAAGTAGTGCTCACTCATTACTTTGCAAGATTTTTCAGTAGATATAAAGTATGTGCCTTCAACATTGATTAGCCAGATTCCAACTTAACTTTAGTTCTGCTATGGTCTTATGCAGCTTTTCGGGTTTAAAAATGCATCTGTTCAGAGGCTGCTTCGTGAACTTATAGTTCGTTCGACTGGAGCAGTGCAGCTAAACTTGCCTCATCCAGTTACTTCTGATGCTAATTCACCTTTAAGCCGTAAGGTTGAAGCTGAAATTTCTGATGGAAATGAAGTTTGCATGGACAAGACGGGTGGACCTGCTAAACGAAGTATGAGGCCAAGCCAGGAGGAAGGGACTGCTAAAAGGGTTCACTACCAGAATATTTCCACTTCAACTGATAAGTGCCATAATGAGTTGGATATAATTGCTGATGAAGGTTCAAACGAAGTAAGCAGAGCTCTTTTTTTCTAGTATTTGCCCCTGAAGCATACTTGGTGTCTGATAACTTCTGTATTGCATATATTATGGCAGTACAGCTATAGAAATAAAATTTTTCACAACTTCATGTGGATGGCATTATGGCAAGTACATTTTATTTTACAGTAAAGATATTGATTGGTCGCCTAACATCACCGGATTTTGGTATACAATAATATTCTGGTTGTGATTTCTCTGTTGTGCTCAAGCACTGGTGGTTGTTTTGTAAGATTAACACTAGCCGATGTGTATATTTACTACCTTCTCTATTCATGAAAGCAAATGCCATATAATTTTATAAACATTTGGTAAAGTGACAAGCCTTATTTCACAAGCACGGTGCTGAATAATTACTACGATTCAACCTTTTGATACTTATTTGTATCCCCCCCTTTTTTTTCAAATGTTACTTATCTGTACCTTCAGGGATCATGATTATGCTTTAGGGATCCATATGGTTCTCTCTGGGCACTAATTCTGCTAGTGTTACTTTTCTTGGTTTCCAAATGGGCTGCGGAGCTCTGTCCAGTGAATTGCTTTCATATTTCTTCCGCTAATGAATATGTGAATGCTTTTTATTATAATACTATACCCCTGAGTGAGAAAATATGCCTTGTAGTTGTTTACACATTTCTGTTTACTATTACATGTTTTTTAGTTTTTACACATTAATCCATGTGAAAATTAAGATTTGACGAAATATGGTCATATTTTTGCTGCTGGCCAAGGGATTGTTACTTGTGCTTTTTAAGCAACCTGTGAATTGTCATGCTAATATATATATATTTTGAGGCACCAAGGTTCATACTACTTGTAGTAGTTGATAAGTTGAAAGCTCAGTATCTGATATTAGTGTTGTGCATTGTTCAAGTTGCAGGATGCCACTGGTTCAAGATGCACGTCTTCTTCGCTGGAAGACATGCCTTGCAACTCAACACATACTTTGGTTGACGACAATTTAGGTGAATTTGTTGCAGATTCACCTGAACAAGTTGCTTTATCTTCTAGTTCTTATTTAAGCTCTCAAAAGTCTGACCTAGAATCAGCTGAGAGAGAAGTAGCTAAGTCTATGATGTCTATTTTGCTTCCCCAAGCTATTCCCTTTCTAAACAAAACTCACAGAAAGAAGAAGAAGGTTAAGCATAAAAAGAGAGAAGAAACTATTTCAACTACAACTGCTTTAGCTGAAAATCCATCTGCTGATGGTTGCCGAGGTATGTAAGCTTCATACTTGTATAAAACATATCTTCGTTGAAAATTTGAGTCACTATAAGTAAGAAATATTGTCACATTCTCTTAGAAAAGGAAACCTTTTACCCAAGTAGCCTACTCAGACAAGAGTTAGGACTTAAGGGGTCCATGACATTGTGTTTAATAGAGTTTTTGGTCATGATTTCTTGTATCAAGCAGGTGTAGTTGTGTCTACAAGTACCTGTGAAGGAATAAATATAAAAACTTCTCAAACATATTCCCATGGGCAATCTCTTTGTGAAATGGTTAAAGACTGCTGTGGTAATGACGATGGCATGATTGATGAGCCAGGCCTTAAATCAGATGACATGAAAGTTGTTGCAGATAGTTTTGAGGATGATGAGCAGGGTTGGTGTGACAATAAATCTAAATCCATGGGTGCTCGCTGTCATGATGATGATGCGTGCTCTAAGGAAAGTTTGCCGTATGGTAACAGGGAAGATCATGATGGCCACTCTGAGTGTCAGATGGGGATAGATGATGGCACAAACACACCTGATGTGGTATATGATCATGAAAAAGGTCAATATGTTTTATCTGAAGCGCTCCTTGCCTGTCTGGAGGAAGAATTTGGTGCGAAGGATAATTCCTGCCCTGCAAACTACAATCAAATCGATGTTGGGCGGAGACAAGGTGAGCAGCACTTTGAGGACCCTAGAAGTGGGATTAACGATGACTCATCAATTTCGGTTGGTATGTCAGATAAGAGCAACTTGAGGAGTGGATTAATTGATGGTTATGCACAAGCTTCTGCTAAGAGCTGGACAGGAAATTCAAGGCATGGAGAGTCTTTAACAAATTTGTTGCAGAGTCCAGTTCATTCTAACGCACATAACAATAGTGAGAAAATGGGTGGTAAATTTGATGATACTGAGTTTGTTGACAAATTTGTTGCTTTTGACAAATATGGGATGAAAAGAGTAAACACTGTTACAGTGTGGCCTGTTGATGTTAGAACAAAAACAGGTAAAAGAAATCACCCTCTTGAGGAGCAAAAAGAATGTCAAACTGGATGCAGAAATGGCAATGAGAACGCAATGGTTTCCATCGGTTGTGGGAGTTATGTTTGTGGTCGTGTACCTCCTAAGGATGAAGACAATGCTTGCCATGAGCATGCTCCTCCTGACGTCAACCATTTAAATGGTCCATTATGTAGACACAAAGAAACATCGCCAAGGGTGTCAAATCTTCATCTAGATCTTATGGGATGCTATCTGCATCCAATGCCTGTCTTGTCTATCGTCCTAAACACCAAAAATAACAGCAGCTTACTGATCTATGTACTCTGTGGCCTTCTAGAGAGCTGTGAAAGATTCCTTTATGTGTATACTATCGTCCCTAAGGATCAGCAAGAGACAGCACCTTATTTTGTTGGCTACACTCCTCTTCTATTGTCCTCCTTGGAGCGGTCATGTACAGGAAATGTAAGAACATACTGTGGTTACAATTTTTCTTTTTTGGTCAACATGTAAAGTGTACTCACTACTTTGATATCTTTTGTTTTCTTCAGCTCCCATTTGAAAGGTCTGGGTTGCAGTTCACACCTGATGGCCAGTTTCTGGTCCTCCTTGGCAGTATCAGAATGCCTTATTGCAGGTTGTAATTTCATTCCTTAGAGCCAGCCAAGAAATGCGTTGGATGTTCTGATTATATTGGTGCTAACCACATATACTTATTAACAGGAAGCAAATCATTGATTGTTCTTGCTCCTTGTGCAAGTTGGATCAGTGTGAGGATAATTATTTGAAAATTGTATCTGTGGATTTGGGTTATGTTTCACTCTTGACCAAACTGATGGCTTATGGGTCACTGTCATGCATTTTAATCTGTGAACCAAATTACATTGTAACCGTTGAAGATGGAAGAAACTTGCATATCTGGATGATGGCTGCTGGGTGGAGGTACTTGTTTCTACCTTACTGGTGTTTAATGCTTCCTTTCCATCCCATTTTTTACTTTATTGGTTTATTGTTGTTATGAGGCCTCCTTCGGCATCGCAGTAGATTTTCAAAAACACTTATTTTCTAGGTTTCAAACCAACAACTATCTGTAGACATAATTTTAAATCCAAATGGAAAAAAATCTTACAGGATGTGGTAACTGGCAAGTTATTTATCTTAGCTTCAAACTGTGGTAACTGATTGCTCCCTATATGGGCCCCTGTTAGAAGCCAGCTACGTTATTGAGAAAATCAGTGCGAACATGCTTGTAGCATGGTGGTAAATGCCTTACAGTGGAAGCTACTGACCAGGGTTCCAATCCTTCTCTGGCACCAAAAAGGGTCACTCGCTGGTTCCCCCAAAAACATGGTTTAAGAATGGAGGGTGGGCCCTCGTGTATGGAAGGCCTGGGCCATAGGGGGCGGCCTTTGTCGGTCCCGGTTTCGGGTGCTTCTTCTTAATTGAAATACCTTGGGGGGAATTTTCTTTAATTGAGGAAATTAATCAAGAATACTTGAGAGTACAGTACGCACTTTCTCTTGCCCTGCATCCAAGCCAAAGGATCTGGGACTTCAACCACCAATCACTACCACTTTTATGGTTACCTTATTCTATCACAAAGCACAAACTGGGCTCTAAATATTTAATCGGCAATCTATCAGCTTATCTTATGAAGATATATATTTGATGAAAATATTAGGATTTTGCAATGTGGCATTTAATGGCTATGGCCCTGTTTCGTCCATGCTGCTTCCTTCTTCCCTGTGTTGTTTCTGTCTAACTTTCTTCCTGTGAATTTCCACTCCTGGTTTGTAATCCAGAAATGATGTGGGTTACTCTTTCTTTTCTTATCTGCAACTTTTCCTTTTTTTCTTTTTTTTTTCGAAAAAACGCAGGAGAACTGCACCTCATTACAACACACACCACTCCACACAACTCTCAACTAAGGAAACACAAAAGCGCCTGAGCTAAACACCAAAGGGGCGACCACTCCCACTAAGCTAACCACCAAGGAGGGGGGCTGTCAAAGAGAACAGACCCTTGGCTCCTGCTAGACACCACGCTCCTCCAGCAAGGTAAGAGCACCACCAAGGCTGGGGGCAGTTCCATAACAAACACAGCGATTTCGATAGTTCCAAATAGACCATGCCCCAAGCACGATGAGAGAATTGAGCCCTTTTAGAATTAAACCACTTGTTGCACTAGAAGCCTTTTCCCACCAGCTGTCAAAATAAATGTCTGAAGGCTGTGGAGATAAGGAATGGAGGCCGACCTGCCTTAAAAGGAGGTACCAGAAATGCCTAGAAAAGACACAGGAAACTAGAAGGTGGTTGATAGACTCATCTTCCTGGTCACAGAGAGGGCATTGGTCAGGGTGGGGCAGCCCACGTCGCGCGAGGCGATCCGCGGTCCAGCACCGATTATGGGCCACCAACCAGAGAAAGAAGCGGCATTTGGGTGGCGCCCAGGTTTTCCAAATCCTCTCATAAGGTCTGAAAAGCATAGAACCCAGGAAGAAACCTTCATAGGCCGACTTGGCGGAGTACTGCCCACTATTTGAAAGACGCCAAATGTGGACATCTTCGACATCAGGCTCTAAGTCAAAATTGTACAACACTTCCCAGAGATGGAGAAAATCCACAATAACACCAACCGTGAGGGCACCCTTGACATAAAAAACCCAGCTGCGTTCAGTAAGAGCTTCATGGACAGTACGTTGTTTCACCCTTCTTATAGGAATGGCTTCAAAAAGACGTGGTGCAAGATCAACAACCCGCTGTCCAAAGATCTAACGATCAGTCCAGAATAGAGTGTGCTTCCCATTGCCTACTTCCGAAACAAAGGCCACCGAGAAGAAGGCCTTAACTTGGTCCGGGATCTGAATAGGAAGGGCTGCCCAAGGGCGATGAGTTTCAGTTTTTTTCAGCCAAGCCCACCTCATCTTTAAAGCCCAGCCAAGATATTTGAGATCATAAATACCAAGTCCCCCTAGCTCAAGAGGGCGGGTGACCTTTCCCCAAGCCACAAGGCAATGCCCCCCAAGCGCATCCTTGCGACCCCTCCAAAGAAAACTTCTCCGAAGTTTGTCCACTGCTTTAATAGCCCAAAGAGGAAAATCAACTGCCATTGCCAGATAAATAAGCATGGCAGTGAGAACGAATTGCACCTGAACTTTTCGACCTGCCCGCGTCATGAGATCTGCTTTCCAAATTTTCCTTTTAAAGAACTTCTTTAATGTAACTCCATATTGGTTCATACAACGTCAATGGATAAGAGCAGAAGATTACCCGGTGTTGTTTCTGGCCTATAGCAACTTCTTTGACTCATTTCCATGTTTTCTAGCTGGAGCCAAGCTCTCTTTCTGGCTCACCTTACCTTCATTGTGCATATTTTCGGCTTGATCTTCTTTGGTTCATCTGCTGGTCCTTTCTTGTATGTGGCTCATAGAACAGTGAGATCATAAGGATATCTATATGCAGCACTAATAGGCTAATAGCTTGTGTGACCATATTCTATCTTGCTAGACATCCATATTAGGGATACACTGCATCAATATGATACCCCCTCAAACTGTATCTTATGCTAGTGTTATTTTTTTTTTTACATATAATGTTTTGTAATAGGTTCATAGATACCCCCATATAATCTGTACTGGATATGCTATTTATTTTCATTTTTTCATGTCACAGAATAATATCTGAGGAGTATGTGATTCCTAGTTCTGGTAATGTGGGTAATTCAATAATAGAGCTCAGAAGAATGCCAAAAAGCAGCACTCTCATCGTTGGTCATGATGGCACAGGAAGCTTTAGTTTGTGGTAAGTCGGGGCCCTTCATTGGTGATACATTTCTCTTAATTGTCACACGGATGCTGCCTTTATTCTTAATGTTACTACTATACTACTATCCTGATACTTTTACATGAAGTGTCAGCTAAGATACAAGTCCTAGGTCAATATCCAAATTCCAAATTCAAGATTTGCATGGTTCTAAATACATAGTATCTTATTAGAAGGTATCCTGTGTTTGACAGTAATGCTCTTCCAGATTCTGAAATACCAAAGATGGATGTTGTATTGGTGAACGACAAATATGTGCTTCAGGAATGGTAGGAGCTAGTGATACTACACAAATAGATTAAGACAAGACTCCAAGCAGGAAAGAGGAAGAACGAGGCGGACTAGGTCACACTTATAAAATGCTTTTTCCTGCTAAGTGAATCAAAACCAACATATGCTTTGCAGTTTGAAATATTCACTGCAAATGCATGAGTTAAGTGAAATTAATATTCTAAAAAGACCATTCTAAAATTAATATGATAAAACTCACGAAAAAAATCAAGCTTATTACTCCCTCCGTTTCACAATGTAAGTCATTCTAGTATTTTCCACATTCATATTGGTGTTAATGAATCTAGACATATATATCTATCTAGATTCATTAACATAAATATGAATGTGGGAAATGCTAGAATAACATGTTGTCTGTTATTTTGTGTTGACTTCTGTAACATTTAGACATGTGCTTCATGCTCTCTTAATTTAATTTATTTAAACCATTCTATTTTCGTTGGTCCATTCTGATTTGATGTAAACACTTTTCTAGGGATATCTCCAAGCGAACACTTCTGGCAACTTTTACAGCTCCAGGAATCATTGTTTTCCAGATTCGGCCAGTAGTATCGTGTAGTTTGCAGGAGGATATCATTCTTGCTTCGGTTAGTGACATAGAGAGAAGGTTAAGAGAGATTACAGTTACTGGTGTGTCCAGAAAAGCTGACAAGGAGTCCATTTTGTCACCTGGAAAAGATACAGCAATTTGGATTCTGATTTCGTCTGCTTCAGTAGCGGAGTATCAAAGTGATCTTCGAGCAAAGGAACATAATGCACGATGGAGGCTAGCTCTGCTGGCAAATAAGACTCTTATTATGGGAACTATTTTGGATCCAAGGTACCTTCAGCTCTCCATGTACAGTTATAGCATACTCCATTTATTTTTGTTATGCACTTGCATGGACTAATTTTACATTCTGTGGCTAGATTATGAATAAAAAATGTTAGTATTTTAAAAAATGGCTTCCCCAAAACTTTTTGAAGAGGAAAACTACATTTGTGCTCTTTACACTGATGTCCATAACATGATGTGTGTTATACAAGTCAGTCATTTGGATGGTAACTGGGGACGTGTTGGGGGGATCAAGGGTTAGACAGCTGCCACAAGTTATGTTAGCTATCACTGGTGGGAGAAATGACTAATTCATCCAACATAGCCTGTTTTCAGCTGTAAACCGTAATCTGCTTTGTTCTGTTTTTTTGGATACCTGGACTGCTTGTAAACTACAGACACCCCTTTGCAAACATGTGTAATTATGTATTTTTACTTGTTATAGTCTAGTCATATTTTTGAATTCGGATAGTTCCTAGTACTAAGATCGAATTCTGTCATGGTTTTGTTTTAGCCCCTGTTCTTCCTTACCAAACGCTGCTTGTAGATCTGGTTTCAGTTGTTTCGTCTAACCATCACTTGTTACTCTTAAACTATCACTTGTTATGCACTATTAATTTCGGTTACCACTTAGTGTTAGTATCACATCAGTAGTCTGATTATCTTAATATCATGGTCACTTAAAGAAATTGGTGAAGATACCTGATTGCAACCTTACAGATAGGATCAAGTGTTCTTTTATAGAGGTAAATGCCTAAATGGAAACAGTGGTGCCAAGTTGGTCTGACTGGTTATATTTTAAATACAAAATTTAACAAGGTACAAACTTGGTTATGCCCTATAGGTACAAAGTAGGTTTTGTCCTATGGAGAACCATGGCAAATTCATGTATGAATTTCATTTTCCATTTCCAGAAGAAAGGTTAAATTTTCCAATTCAAGAAGAAAGGTTAAATTTAGTTGAACACGAAGGTCATTTCTGCTTGTCCAGATGCATCAGCATGTAATGATAATAATCTCCACGTGTAGACTCTTAGAGTGGAAAAACCATAGAGTAAGTGTTGTGATCCATATCTAACTATCTCCACGTAGATCGATATCTGAGGGTAGCGTTCACATAATGTATTGTGATAAGTACTATTGGAATTATGTTATAACGCTGGTTTTCCGTGAAGATAAGCGTATATTCACTGCATCTGAGTGAACAATGTGGTCAACTATTTGCTGCTCTTTAGTTAGTATACATTACATTGCACTGTTGAGCTGAACATGGATCTGTTGCTATCGGTCAAAGTATTGGCAGCAGAGTCTTTTTTTCCAAATGCATTATATAAAGTTCCATGCTGAGGGAGAAGAAATTGCTGGCTTGTTTACCTGCTTTAAGGTCATCAGAAAGTGAAGGATTGACATGTAAAGAATGCAAAATGCTTTTGAATCATTACCGTATTAAATCTTAGATCTGATGATTCACTTCATTACAACTCTCCTTCGAGAAGATATTTGTAGTACTATGACATGAATTATCTTCAACCTCAGCGATTTGCATTCTTCTCAGGGCTACTGCAGTAGATGTTTGTGGTAACCATGGATTCGCTGGAACACATGGAGGTCTCTTGTACGCATGGGAATTGTCTTCTGGGAGAAAACTTGCTGGTACACAATGTTTTAACAGTAAGTGATGAAGAGTTCACGCCTTCTTAAATAAAATAGCTAACACATACCAAATAACAAGTTGGTATGCATAAACAAAGAAGACAGTGACGGTTTGTTTGCATCTTTATATCGAGTTATCATTTTTTTTTTTGCTCTGTACATATTCTAGTTCTAAACTTTTCGGGTTTCACATACATAACAGAACTTGTAATACATCATCTAAAGAAAAAACTTCGATAGTATTGCTAAATAGTCTGGTATTAAATACTCATGGTTATTTCTCTGGGCCCTACTTAATAGGATGCTAAGTAGGAACTGTTCTGATCACTACCTGTTTTTGCTACATAATGGAGTGATTTTATGTGTTCCATAAATAGCATATGCTCATATTTCGAGCCTATTATAAGTGGAAAATATACTACACTAACCTCTCCGATCTATGCAATTCAGGTGGACGAGTCTCGTGCGTTGCTGTTGATGCTAAATCAGGTGTAGTAGCAGTGGCCGACGATGGATGCCAGCTGGTACTTTACAGTCAAAATAAGGTGCTGAGCAATGCAAGGGCAGAAGGGAACATGTTCAGGATAAAGTAGCCGTTTGGACATTGTAGTTGGAAAGTAAGGTTGGTGACTGTATGCATATGGCTTGCAATTTACAGTGGATTGTACATAAAATTTTTGTTGGTCTCGTACATCCATCATACTATCAAATGTACATAGCTGATAGAATCTCGCGTTGCATTTCAATTTGAAGGCGCAGATCGCCTTGCAACTTGGTAATACTCCAAAGACGAGTCGGAAACGTGGGTCCGGCTATTGCGCGATCAGGAAGAGTCGAAGAGACCCACTTGCGCCGTTAAGCGTAACGCGTTTTATCCGGTGGCCTCTCCGCATCCAGAAAACGACAAAAAAAGAAAACCGCACGCTTCTCGTTGGAATAAATCCACTATGAAAAGTGACCCTAATACCCTAAAACGCAGAACCTGACACCTAAACTATTAAAATCGGTGCAAATTTGACTCCCTCGATGGTTTTGGAGAACGGTTTCGCTAACGTGGCACGTTACGTGGAGATGTTGATCTGGTCTTCGTCCTACGTGGTGTTGACGTGGCGCTTACGTGACATTAGAATTAAAAAAAAATATGTCGGACACACTAACAGGTTGGGTCCACATGTCAGTTTATCCCTTCACCCATCCCTGTGTCTCTCATTTTGTTCCCGCTGGACGTCCTCGAAGAGCTCGACGCGGCAGGGCTATTGGCGCCGATGGTGGCTGCTCTAGTGGCATCCATTGGAGCTCCCTCGCCGAGCTCTATCCCGCTGCCATCACCGTCCACCACCGGTCATCGTCCTGCGCTCCCTTGCTGTCCCCTGTGAAGAAGAAAAGGAGGAGATGGGGAGGCGGAGAGGCTGGCGAGCCGCTCCTCTCGCGCCGGCTGGCCCGCGCCGTTGCCTCGCCTCCTCTCCCGCCGGTTGTCGCGGGCTGCTCTCTCCTCTCCCACAGGCCGGCGCGCGCCACTGCCTCGTCTTCTCTCCCGCCGGTCGGCTAGCCAGCCATCCCCGACTGTTGTGTGCCGCTTGCTCTCCCGTCGGTCGTTGCGCATTGCTGTCTCCTTCCTCGCTGGCGAACGACGGTCGGCGGACCGCGTCTTTCGGCCTCCACCTCAGCGGTGGCCACCTCATGGCGCCGGGGACGGCGGCCACCGATTGGCTGCCGATTTCGATGTCATCCGTGTGGCGGTGCCTACCCTAATCATCGTTGTCGTCGTCCTGATGGAGCTCCCGCAATCGTGGGGCTCGAGAGCGAAGCTCGGCGACATCACCTCCTTCTCGAGCAATGGCCGACTGCCTTGCTCCTCCTTCTCGAGCTCCTCTCCTTGTCGAGCACACTCTTATCCGAGCGACGGCTGGCGACCATAGTGGCACCACGCCGCCCTTCTCCTCCTTCGTGCCTCCACTCATGCATGGAGCCCATCCCCTTGGCTGAGCTCGGAGAATACAGAGTCAGCGCCGCCGCTCTCCCACCCGCTGCCACCACTCTGGCCCCTGCCCGCTGTTGCCGCCGTCCCCTGCTTGCCGAATGGGGAGGGAGAGAGGGGGAGGATCAAGAAGGGATAGACGAACATGTGGGCCCCACAAATTCTTCTTCCGTGTGAATGATGAATGGGTCCCACATGTATGCTTTTAATTCTAATGCCACCTAAGTGCCATGTCAACAACATACTAGGTCAACACTGTCACGTAGACGCCACGTTAGCAAAACCGCCGAGAGTCAATTTGCACCGGTTTTAACAGTTTAGGGGTCAAAGATATCTGGTTTTGCGGTTCAATGTATGGATTAGGTTCGGGTCACTTTAAGGGAGTCAAAGTGGACTTATTCCCTTCTCGTTTCCCTTTTGCGACGCGCCCCAACAAGTATCGCGGCCCAACACCTATCGATGTGCCTTGCAATTTTGGGCTCGAAAAAAAAAGAGAAACACATACGGCTATTTTTTCAGCTAAGTAGGGATAGTAGAGGGTGGGGAGATCAATGGAAGTAACTTTCAAATTAGAAAAGCTATAACTTTCTCGTACTGAATTGAAAAACAATACTCCCTCTGTCCCATATTAAGCGCAGTCGTGGGTTTCAGTGCCCAACGTTTGACCGTCCGTCTTATTTGAATTTATTTATGATGATTATTTTTATTGTTAAGCATCCACAATGTTGTCTAAAAGTAGTCCATAGGTAATATTATATTTTTTTCAGCTATCTAACCACATTGTGCAAGTAGTCTATAACAAGGATATAGCAAAAATTGTCCATAGCACTAAGGGTAGTGTTAACGGTGAAATTTTTCGCATCAACAGGTAGGCAATAAGATAATAAAATATCATAGTTGAACAGTAGTACTTTCACAAATGTTAAACAAACCGTTACACAGGTATGGGGGCAACGGGAGTAGTAACGCTGTAGGGGGTGGCTGAATTTTTTTTACCTTTAGTGGGACCCAATTTAATTACTCACATTGTGGTGGTTTCTATAACTATGGACTCCTAGCTGCGGGTTCCACATCTATGGACTAGTTAGCCAAATACATTGGAGTTGCCCTAGATGATAAAACATGAATAGTACTTTATACTCGACTTAATTTTTAAATTTTTTTCATAAAATTTTCAAATAAGACGAGCGGTTAAACATTGGACATAGAAACTTATGCACTACTACAAAACATCAAATATGTGTCGCCACTATAGGTGCCGGTTATGCTAAAACCAGCACCTATAGACCTTTTCCCACCTCCACAGGTTGAAATCGCAAAAAACGGCACCTTTAAGTACTTATAGGTGTCGGTTCTAAATAAAAACCGGCACCTATTATATTTTGTGTCGGTTTATTTTTTAAAAAAACGGCACATATAACAAATTATAGGTGTCGGTTAATTAAAAACCGACACCTATAACATATTATAGGTGCCGGTTTTTTAAAAAAACCGACACCACGAAATCGAGCTGAGCTGGAGCCGAGCCGGCGGGCCCCACCATGAGGAGCAGATAAGGTCTCGCTCTCGCCTCGCGTATGTCTCTCTCTCGTCTCCTCCCTTCTCTCTCGCTCTCTTCTCCTCTCCACCGCTCTCTGTCGAAACAAGATTTCGGCAATACTAAAAGGGGTGGCTATCAAGCTAGAAAAGTGGATGGGTTTGGAGACAAGGAATTTTATACAGGTTCAGGTCTTCTTATTCAAGAAGTAATACCCTACTCCTGTCCAGGGATGAATCCGCCAAGTGTGTTATTGATTGTATGATCTTGGAGAAAATCATGTCCCAAGAAGGACCCGGACCCCTCCTTATATAGGGGAAGGGGTTCGTATTACAAAATACAATCCATATCCCTAACGGAATATGAGATTACAGATAAAATACAATCGTAACCGACTAAGACCCCGGGTACTTTCTTGACGTACAAGTTAAGAAACAAACCCGAGTTCCTATAAAAATATTCTATCTATATTCGGTACCCTATATCCAACCTAACTATAACTGTCATGTAGATATGGGGTATCCATAATCTCCACAGTAGCCCCCGAGACCTTTGCAGTCGACGAAATAACCTTCTCAAGAACAATAATCCGAGTGCTTTTAGTTCTTGCTGCTCCAGCCTGCCGAGTGATAAAATCAAAGACTGTGAAGGGCAAAAATAAAACATGGTGCATCGAATAGATGCACCTAATTAGGTGTAGCCCCCGACTATATGGTTAGTTAAAAAACTAAACATGTAGTCAAGAACCAAGCGGTTTCACAACCAAACACCATATAGCAAAGCATATGCGGCGTTCAAGAAAACATCCAGCCGACTGCTTTTTGGCCTTAATATATTAAGAATAAAAGAGCCCGAGTGAATAAAACTCAAAAAGGTCCACAAATAGACATATTTGACCAGAATCCGAGTAAAAACTCTTAAGATGATACATCAAATATTATAAAAATCATGGTAATTAACAAGTCTAATAGCCTAAGCTATGACTCTCACCACAATCAAGGTAGGCATATAACATACCAAGAGAATGACTATTAAAAAACGAGCCATCTCAAATCAACCTAAACAGCTTTTGCAGCCTAAAAAAGCTTGCAAAAATAGTATAACACCTTTCTGTCGGGCACCTTTTTATTTGCATTGTAGTAATTCCAAAGAATTATCTAACCGCGTCAAAAAGGATTTTGACAGCATCGGGTCACACCATCGTAAGCACGAATTGCCAAAGCAAAAAATGCCTAAGTCCCTAGGGATCACAACGGGCCACGCTGTTTAATGATATTAGGCTGAAGTACTGTACAGGCCCAGGCCCATTAGCACTCCCGATACCCTAACAAAATAGCGAAGTCTAAGTGACGCTTCGTCTTCCCCGCCGAAACTCTCGCCATTTCCCCACTCCTTGCTACAGTACAAAGCTGCGCAGGCGAAACTAGGGTTCATCAATCCGCCCCAATCCACTCTCAAAAAATCCACGAAATTTCTCCACGCATCCACCACTCTGATTCCCCATCCCTCCCCAGCCATTTCTCAAACTGAATCAAACCATTCAGGTCGCATCGATGGCGGAAGAAAGGGAAAGTTTTGAGAGTCAGTGGGCGCCCTCCGATGTAACGAAGGAAAATCTGAAGGAGATGGTGGCGCACGGCGTTCTTCTAGCGAAGGAGATCATCGGGTGGCGACCGGCGTTCGGTGAAGCATTCCCAACCCCTGATACACACGAGGTTGTGGTCTTTTCCCATTTCTTTTATGGCGGATTTTCTCTCCCAACTTCAAGATTTTTCCAAGGAATCTTGAACTTTTATGGAATCAACTTGCATCATTTGAATCCAAACTCCATAGTACATATTGCCAATTTTGTCCATGTCCGTGAAGCTTTCCTGGGCATTAGGCCTCATTTTGCTCTGTTCCGCCGCATCTTCTTCCTCAAACCCAAGCCAAATAAGAACAAACCATGTGTTGTTGGAGGGGCTGGTTTCCAACTTAGGGGAACTTTAAGCCAGAAATACTTCTCCATGCCCTTCAAAACTTCAAACAAAGGCTGGCATGCCAATTGGTTCTATGTCCAAAACCCTGAGCCTGCACTCCCCGAGTACTCCTATCTTCCTCCGGTCTACCAAGACACATGGAATTCACTGCCCATGGGAGATGAAGCTGCTCAGGCTGTAGAACTGATGGAACGTATGCTGAAGCTCAAGGAGCAAGGTTTGCAGGGAGAGCAGATCACTCGGCACTTCATCAAAAGTCGGTTAGCTCCAATCAAAGAGAGATCC